CCCTATTCATATTCTCCTTGATCTCACCAAGCCTATCGATATAAGGCACTAAGCACGCAGGAAATGATTGAGCTCTGAGCTGGGCATCTCTCCCTCCTCTCTCTGCCAACAGACTGTCACTGTTTGGGCAAACTCCAGTTACTCATGATGACTCCATCCTTCCTTTTATCCATCCATCCCCCTCTCTTTTAACGCCTTTGATATGATGTGACACCAGCCGAGGCAAATAACATAAATTCCCCGGCTTTCTCCCATTTGTCTCTATTACACTCAAGCTAGTTTTGTGAGCTGCATAAAGATAGATATGTTCTTACTCATTGGAAAATTTTTTTTGCAAATGAGCGTGTTGTTCAAAATGTTGTTGTTCACCTCGTTCTTCGGGTGAATCGGCATGTTTTCCCATCATTGGCTAACAGGTCAGCTCCAGCAGGAATGTGATACAGGAAGAAAAGGTCAGTTTCCATTGATTGTTAAATCACTCCTCTGTTTGAGAGGGACATGATTGAGATGGTAAGACACTGACTGCTCCTGGCTTACAGTAAATATCCTTCTTCTGGACTCAGCTATACTGTATGCCAGACAACGTTCACTTTGCCCACGAGTCAGCAGTTTGTATGTGTGCATGTGTGCCAGTGTGTGTGTGTGTGTGTGTGTGTGTGTGTGTGTGTGTGTGTGTGTGTGTGTGTGTGTGTGTGTGGCACCAATATTTTGGCCTCTAGTAACCAGATGAGAAGTTACTTGGAACAGTGTGAATGTCCTCCTCTTCTCTCAGCTTCTCTATCTGTCTGTCTGCCTGTTTGTTTGTTTGCCTCTCTGTCTGCATAGCTGGCGTCAGTCTCAAGGAGATCCTCCTTCTCTTTCCCGCTCTCTTTTTGTGGGTAGAGCTGGCAGACACTGGCAGATTTTTCTCCTTGAATAGCTGTTTTTATCTCTTTCTCCTTCCCTCTGTCCCTCCGTCTCTTCCTCCTTCTATCTCCCCGGCTGAATGACTGTCTGGACTTTTTTTCGGAGGGAGGCTCCAGAGAACTGATGTTGAGATATTTTGTGAGCACTATCTATGAACTCATACATTTTAAGATTTGTGGTCATAGTTAAAATAATAACCTCGCTCCTGGCTGTGTTTGTGCCCTGACTTACATTATGCTGCACCGCAAAATTAACAAGTGAACTTTTGATATGGAGGTGTATCACTAGGTTTAGGGAGATTGGTGTTTTTGCAGATGGTGGCCTTGGAGACTACGGGGTGGGGGATGCCGAAGGGACCCTCGGCCCGCGTATGCAACCGAGACAGGGAGACAGACGGGGGCAGGGAGAGCTTTGTGCACCAGCCCTTTCCCACACTCCCTTTCACCTTTTGTTGTATGGCAGCACCAGGGCTCTCTGACATGACGAATCGCTCTGCCTGCTTAACGGAGACGGTGGAAGTAGGAAAGTAAGAGTGGAGTGAAGTGGAATGATGTGTGTGTATATGTGTGTGTGTGTGTGTGTGTGTGTGTGTGCAGTCTTGTCCTTTAATCTTGGTGCCCGAAATCAACCTCAGCCTCCCATCCCTTGTCCTGCAATTCTCTGCTCTTCTGTCACCGGTCTGGAGCAGAGGAGTCGAGGTTTCAATGCTTCGAGCACTAGTTGGGCGGATTCCGCAGCGGATGAGCCAGACACAGACACACACACTAACACACTCACGCACATGCTCATATACACACTAATGCCTCTGCCCAAATGCCAGCACCAAGCTGTTGCCCATAAAGCGTTCAGGCTGTCACAATAGAGACATTACCACATGAGTGAGTGGCTTTGAATAGGGCTAAGGGTGTGTGTGTATATAGAGTGTGGTGGCTATGGGGGGAGGTCCTGGCAAGACAGACGACCCTGTCATCACCTCTGCCCCTTGTCAAACAAGCGATCGCCGCCGATGGCACATGTATGCAACACACACACACACTTTGCACACACTCCTGCCGCGCTTGCCTGTTGCGCTTATCCAAGTTTGTGACTGTCCTCTATTTTCTTATACGGAGGCATTCTGAGTATGTATACAATGCGGTTGTGTGTTTGTGAGAGAAAAAGAAAGAGAGGTGGTGTGGCTGGTTAGTGGAGCAATACAGAGAAAGTGAATAGCTGACCAAGCCAGGCCAGGCAGGGTGAAGGGTGAGAATGTAGAGGTCGAGAAGAGGAGGGAAAACGAATGAAAAAGACATTCTTTTCAAAACGAGTTAAAGGCTAGGAAGAGATCAGTACTTCCAAGTGGAAATAAGTCCTGTGACACAGAGGCAGATGGAGACAGAGTTATGTGTATAAGGGCATAAGGAAACACACGACACATTTCAAATGTTTGTTGTAGGCTACTGTCACTCAGCTCTGACTGTGGATTGTTGCTGCATGTGTTTGTGTATGTGTGTGTGTGTGTGTGTGTCTAGCCTTGAAATGTCATTATGCAAAAGCAGCGCTTTACACTGGCAAGATCACTCTTCCACAAGGCATGCAGGATGTGTGTTTGGGTGCATGCATGTGTGTGTGTGTGTGTGTGTGTGTGTGTGTGTGTGTGTGTAGAGGGAATGACAAGGGTTTAAGGGGCCATGTCACGCTGTCACTGCTGGAATGCATGACAGCAATGTTTTGTCGCCGTACGGATGAATGCAGCGTCATGGCAGCAGAAGAAGAAGGAGGAGAAGAAAGAAAGAAAGAAAAAGGAGGAAGGGGTGAGAAGAATAAGGAGGAGAAGAAAAAAGGACTAGTATTTTTTTTCTCTTCCCCCCACACTCAATGAGGAAATTAGGTCATCCAAGTAAAGCCATTGCAGGGAACAAATCATCATCATAATTGGACCCTTAACAAATCTGTGGAGGTGGCTGCTTCACACACATGCACACACACACACACACACACACAAAAAAAAAAAAAAAACCCCACAAAAGCTGATACACACTTCTATAGCTACACACATGGCCGGGAGGGTCTAAAACAGAATTTCAGAATAAATCAGGGTATGTTTGACAGTTTTATAGCTCTTTCAGGAGCTTCATTTGGGACAGAAGCGTGATAGAAGAACGTTACTCGTGGTAAATATAATTGTGGTCATGATCCTTCCATAAATCACCGCGTGGTTAGATCACATTTGCCTCCTAGCTACAGCAGGGGGAAAAAAACCCCAGTGCATCAGGTGACCTAAAGGGGTCTCTTTCAGTTTTGCTTGGCATTCACGATGAGAAAAATGCTAATTTAGATATGAAAATAGGCTCTAATCTCAACCAATTCATACCCAAAACCACACACCAAAATGTATGTGTAGATGTTAGAATTAAAGGAACAGTCCAACGTTTTGAGAACTACTCTCATTCTCTTTCTTGCTAACCAGCAGCTGGTTAGCTTAGCTTAGCGTAAAGACTGGAAACAGGTGTTGAAAGCTAACCTGGCTCTGTCCAAACAAAATTCAGCACCTCTCTATCTTATAAATTATATCTTTGTTTAATTCACCCAAAAACCAACAGAGCCAGTTTCAATCTTGTCCAGTCCTGTCCGCATGAACCGTTGCTGGTTTTCAGAGTGATGTCATTGTCATTGCTTATAACAGATGGAGACACTGAGACAGGAGGGATGAGAAGGAGAATATTCTGTGTGTGAACACAAACTCACGTGCTAACACTCGAGCACTTGAGCGAGAGAGGCAACATGTCCCTCTTTAGAGGCATCTTCTCCCGTCAGGGGCAGCGGTTTCGCCACATGAGCCCTGTCAGTCGGCTGCGTTAAAGAAGTGGAAGATTGAGAGGTTGACCTTGCACACTCTCAGCTTTTCCTGGCACATTTCATATGACAGGCTGCACACATTATTTATTCATGTTTAAAGACAGCCTGCTCAAGATGTACCAACAGCCACATTCACATTCTTGACGTCCAAACTGCAGTCAAATACAATGTAATATAAGCTGAATAAATCTCCATAAAGTGTTAGATTGGAATCTGTTGTGCATGTCAGCGCTGTCTTCTTCTGGTAGCATCTGCAGGAACCATATCAACAACTGGGCAAAGACAGAGAGAGGCGAGCCGAAGCTGACACTAATCCAGTAATTGCCATGTGCCCATGTCGCTTATCAAAATAATTGACAGTATTTTCTACAGTAAGATGGAAGTGTTTATCCTGGTGTTACTCAGACTATCGACTGTGGATCCAAACAACTGTGGATCAGTAATGAGGTGGCTGGTTTTGTTATGGGTTGTTCAACGCAAGAATGCAGTTCTGGGTAAACCCAAGAAAACACTGAGGAATCACCTGGATGTTGTCATGTAATTTAATATAGGCATAATGTGAGTAAAAATTCCAAAAATAATAAATATCTGTGCTTTAGGTGGAGGTCTTGGTTAAATTGTCAGCGGTTGCACTTGTCTCTGACAGTGCCACTGCTTCTGAGGCTGGATGGGTTACACAAATATTTGAAGTCAAATGACTTCATTAAGTTAGACAATAGATCACACTCATCTTTACTATACCTGCATTTCCTTTCAAATGACTGGGCTTTATAGAGTTAGAGTTAGAGAATTAGGATCATCTAATCCCATAAGAGGTTTGGTTCTGCTGTGACATTTATAGCCTATTATTAAATTTGAAGCTCCATTGTGCACTGTTTTCAGTTTAGGATGTCTTTGGATGAGATTACAACATTTTGATTATGTCATTGAAGCACTCACAATATAATTTGTTGTTGTTTTCAGTATTTTAAAAACTAATTTTATTTTTTTATTTTTTATTTTGCAGTGTAACCCGGTGCAAGGAGTCTCCAAACAGCGCTGTCGTACCACCCCAGAGCCAGGCGTTCTGATTGACAGGACTTGGCTGACTGTGGACCCTCCTTCCCAGCGTCTCCTCCTCTCCTATCCTCTCTCTCTCTCTCTCTCTCTCTCTCTCTCTCTCTCTCTCTCTCTCTCCCTCTCCTCAATCGCAAGGCTGCGCTCACCGACTCGACACCGCCAACAGGGATGCAGCGAGGGCGCAGCGCAGCCTGAAAATGGCACCACCACGCGTCCTGTGGATCTATCCATCTCTTTCCCTCCTGTCTTCCCTGCTTCTTTTTCACGCGTTGTCGCCGTGCCGGGCCTTAAGGAATTACCCGGAGAATGAAGGTGGGTGTCCGTGGCGTGCGTTGTGTGAACCTTAAGTGGAGAGAGATAGATGACTTGGTTGTTGCGCGGATGTGTGTTTGGCGGACGAGGAGCCCCCCGATCCCGCGGTTCCACTTGCCGGGGGAAGGAGCGGAGCGGAGCGGCGGAGACTCCCGTTAAGTGCTCGGCTCGGTTATGAATCATGCATTAAGAAAAGCGGAGAGAGAGAGAGAGAGTGAGAGAGAGAGAGAAAGAGAGAGAGAGAGAGAGAGAGGGGAAACAGTTCGTCACGTTTCTCTTTCTCGAGCATACTGACATTAAATTTGTATGACATATACACACGGGCAGCCCTGCCATGCTGAAGATAGAGGAGCCTGATGTAGACATTTCACTTTCTGACATCGGGGGCGGAAAAAAAGCTTCTCCACATCGTATTTATCTGTGGAACTATTCTTCTCGCATCAAAGTAGCCTAACTTATAATGATTATCCCAAAACAACATTGACATCCCTTTCAAAATCCTTCTTAATTATAGATATCTTCATTATAACTGATAGATGTTTTTTTTCTTCTGCCTCAGTCTGCAAATGAGGAGCAGCAATTACATTAAATTTGTCACAGCTCCTCTCCAGTTATTGTATTAACATCGATGCTCGGCCTGAAATCAGCCGATGCATTTACTTACTAACTACTCCTGACTGCGTGGTGGGCTGAAACATGGGAGCTGGGAGCTTGTTTTAATGGGGAAGATGAAGTTGCTCTGAACAGAGAAAAGCACACAACATTGTGTGTATTCAGAATAACTGGTATGTGGAGCTGGCTGTTAGAAAAGTGGGAGAGTGTGTTGTGGCTGTTTTTGTGCTTGTTGGATGTCAGAGGAGTCTGGACTGGAGATGATGCAGCTGTGACTTGATTGTCATTGTGGGAATTGTTTCATTCAGTGTTCACCAAAAGCTCCAGTCAGTGCTGGCTCCATCCCTGTCAGCAGCTGCATGATTTGCCTTTCATTGATATTTTCTTTGTCTCTTTCTCACTCACTCTCCCACACAGACACACACACACACACACACACACACACACACAAATCAACTCCAGGCTTACACAGGAAAGATTAAACAGTCAAATGAATCACATCAAACACACGTGCACACACACACACACACACACACACACACACACACACACTCACAATGACAGGCCACACTCAGGTTTGACAGGACCTCCCGTCTCTAGCTGACTTAACAGTATATAAACTGTGATGTACGTACATCGCGCTGAATGTATGTCACAGCCCCGAGGAGTTCACACAGAACAAAAGCTCTGGAGGATAGACAAGCAGTGAGAGAGAGAGAGAGAGAGAGAGAGAGAGAGGAGAAGGAGGAGTGTTTTAACAGCAGGAGACAATGCATGTGAGGGAGACACAAACACACTGTTAAAATATTCATTAAAATGAGCATGAATGATGAAACCAACTGGAAGCCAAAGGAAACTCCTGTTGATTTAGATAAACACAAAGGGGGCATCTGTGAGTTTTGGTGCGTGTGTGTGTGTGTGTGTGTGTGTGTGTGTGTGTGTGTGTGTGTGTGTGTGTGTGTGTGTGGATCATGATCAATTTGAGATTATTTGAGGTGGCTGACAGGTCAAATGGTTCCTCATCTCTAATACATTTTTTAAAGAATTTGCCAGCCACTATGTGTGTGCGTGTGTGTGTGTGTGTGTCTGTGTGTTGACTTCTGTGGGTGAGTCACTTAGTGTTTCATCCTCTGGTCATTTCTCTGTCCTGCTGTTTCTGACTATTGGTCTAATTGGCAACTTTATGCCCACTGCCCGACGTGTGTGTGTGTGTGTGTGTAGAGGCTGTGTGCATGTTCCCCATTGGGACAGTAATCCAATGAAGCCATTTTTGTCTGCCGCCCTATGCTCTGCTTTTACCTTTCGGCCTGCCAGTTTTCCTGCTGTGACTGCACGCTTTGCTGAGGGATTGCTCTTCTTTGTGCCTGTGTGTGTGTGTGTGTGTGTGTGTGTGTGTGTGTGTGCATGCGTGCGCATGCGTGCATGTGTGTGTGTATACCTTGCGTTTGTCTATGAGTGTGCATATTCTCCACCCACGCATCTCGGCAGTCATGTTATTCCAGGAAATCCTCCCTCTGAGTCTGTCTAGTAGCAGAAGCGAGGCTGTCATAAATGGAGAGATGCAGGTCTCAAGGCTCAATTAAGAACACAGTCTCTTTGATAGAGCTGATAGTGTTAGCGGGAAAATAGTGTTAAGCTGTCAACAAGCTTAGTTTACAACCAGAGCTATTGATCTGCTCCAAAATTGTTGGCATTTAGAAGAAACACAGTTATGAGGGTGGACTGAGGGTGCTTTGGAAGAAATGAGAGAATTGTTTGAAATTGCTGCTAAGTGTGGACTAGGGAACACAATCCGCGAGTGGATATGGAATCATTCATAAGTTGCTGCGATGAAGAGCATCCTCTGAAGGCCTTTGTCATCAACAGTTAAGGGAGGAAGAGGAGTGGATGAGTTTTTGGTGCACCAGCAGAGGGAGCCCAACACACAATGAGTCTGAACCCTGAGGGCACACTGATGTAACAGCTGGGTGGATGCTCACAGGTCTCCCTGTTGTCCTGCTGTCCTCGCCGCCCCTTCGCCACTCACCGTCTGTATCCTCTCTAACGCATAGGAGCGATACATGTGCGCTCTTTATCTGGTGTTTCTTTGCTCCTTCTCCTCCCTTTATTTTCTTACTGCTCTTTTCTTGTGCAGAATCATCCCGGGGAGCGGAGCAGACTACCACTCCTTTCTATTTTTGTGTCTTCCCCACTGTCTCTAAATATACCTCCTCAATCCGTAGAAAAAAGTAGAAGCGCGATCGGAGCTTTACGCCTCCTTCCAACGCAGCTGGATGTTGATTAGAGTGTACTAATGGAGGCAAATGAATGATTTAATTCCAAATTCTGCCTGAAATCTGCGTGCACATGATATACAATTGAATTAATAAGGGTGAGGGAGGAGAAAAACAACAGAACATGGAAAAAAATGTGACTCAACTGTGGTTTTATACGATAGTCTCAAGGTTTCCTGTAATCTGTAATTGGTCTTGAAACTAAACATTAAGTTTTTTTATTGGATTGGCCTGAGGGTGCCGGGGGGGGAACTGCTGTATTCGTTAGGTGAACATGAGGGTGAGCAGTGAGGCAAGCATATGTAAAGCATGCCCTCTACTTACACACACACACACACACACACACACACTCCCGTACACACACATCTTATGATTCGCACAAGATCCTGACTGTGGTAAAATGTTGGGTTAAAGGTCGCCTCTGGTTTAATTGCTTTAATCTATAATGGTTGCTTGTAGTTATCGGCAGAGCCATACCTCACAAAGTGTGTGTGTGTGTGTGTGTGTGTGTGAGACAGAGAGAGAGAGAGAGAGTCTGAGATATTGCTCTGCTCCCATGTAACAACCATGACCTTGGACAGAGCAGGATATAGATCTCCGCTCTCATCAGAGAGACAGCAAGTGGAAGCACCCTCCTGTTTTTCTTTGCTACCTCCTCAACTCCGATCCATCTCTAATCCCCTTCTTTCATATCTGCCCTCCTCTATTTTCTATCAGCCTCCCTCCTGGCGTCCGATCCTCTCTCCTTGGTTGTCGTCTTCTTCTCTTTCCCTCTCTCTCTGGCTCGTCCTCCCACATCCAACAGTTGGACAGGAGCCGTGAGCCACTGTATGATTTCTGTAATGAGGTTGAGCCCCTATATCTGCTTAACACAGGCCCATACACAAGCACATATGTGTGTGTGTGTGTGTGTGTGCACATGCACACACTCGTCCTGAAGTAATGTATGGCTGGGGGGCAGTTTGGTGGTCTTGGTCCAGAGAATAGTGTCACGTATTCCCGGGGCTGGCTGATAGATGGGGTTATAAATACAGCTCAGTGACAGAGAATGATTCTGCTGTGAGGGCTTCACCTCATGGATTCATTGTGTGCGCATGTGTGTTGGTGACAGAGAGCGAGAGAGTGAAAAGGAGAGAGAACGAGAGAGTGAGAGAGGCAGGAAGAGTGAAATTATAAATAAAAGGCAGATCCACAAGAGAGAATCTGAGACAAAACAGAAGTGATGATGAAAAAAGGAACAAAGAAAGAGACGAAGTTGTAGACAAACTGAATAACCCAACCCTTTCTCTGTGCTCTGGTGAGCAGAGAACCCATAACAGCACCCACAGAGCCATTGTGCCGTAGTCAGTGGTTGCTAAATATGGTTTTATATTCAGCACCACCTATTCAAATTCATTTAATTCAGTATTTTTTTCTTTCTGTTTTTGTGTTTTCAAGGGAGCTTAAATTCAGTGTGAAGTATATTCTTTCTCCTCAAGACATAGATGAGAAATTTGATACTACTCTCACGTTTGTCTGACAAATATGAAGCTACAGCGAGGGGCTGGTTAATCTAGTTCATATAAAGACTGGAAATGGGGAAACATCTAGCCCAGCACCTTTAAAGCTCACTAAATGAACACGTTACGTCTCGTCTGTTTAATTGGTGCACAAACCAATATCTAAAAATGACTATTTGTGGTTTTAGCAGGGGTTGCTGGTGGTTATTTGTCATTGTTGTGAGGTTTTCCGGAAGTCAATACATTCAACAAACAAGATATAATGTGTTAATCAGTGAGTTTTACAAACGCCAGCCTCTATGCTAACCTAAGCTAACTGTCTCCTTGCTGTGGCTTCATTTACCAGACTGCAGTGTGGATGTCCTCAGCTAACTCGGCAAGAGAGCAAATTAGTTAATTCCTTGTGATGTCGAACTATTCCTTAATAAAAATGAATGTGGAATCAAACAAAACCATCTGGAATATATTCAAGCATTTATTTATGTATATGTATAAATAAAGTTTTTCTTTTTTTTGATGTGAACAAATGTAAACAAAGCCTGAGCTAAAATGAGCCACACTACAGCCACAAGTACAGACTCCTCTTACTTATTTAATGTCTTACTTTTTGGAGTGT